CCCGCTATGCGAGCTGACTAATCCCAGAGCGACTACCTGCTTTACAGGTAGCCCGGAGTCACCGCATTTGAACCTACGTGGCCACAAGGGGATTTTTATTTCCTCATTGGATTTGAACTTGGGACCTCCAAGTACTTTTGACCTTTGAAGCCAAACTTAAACCAATCAGACACCACCCTTATAGTTTATAATTGTTATTAAATAGTAGTAAAGAATTTTATATCGAGACTTAAATGTATTCTTTTGTTTTATGCTTGGTTGTAGCACTTTTTGGATGTATTAGGCATAGTGGTGGAGTCCAAAAGTGATTAAAACTCCCAAAATTGTAAGACAATCATGTCTTAATAAAACACACACACACACACAAACCAATTCAAAAAAAAGAAAAAGAATGTGGACAAAAGCTAATTGAGTTGGACTAAGATACAGAAGCACTTCATGTGACCCAAAATGCATCATGAGCTAGTGGGTACCATGCCTGGTCAATTCAGCTATCAAAAAGGGAAATCTTTAGGGGTGTCATTTTCCATCATATACAAATTTACAGTGGTAACTTATAGGATTTTTTTAAATGAATGAAATATCTTTAGGATTTAGTCAAAATATGGGAAAATGTAAAAAAGAAAGGGTTCAATTCAACTGGTATACATGTATGTATGTATATATATATATATATATATATATGTGTGTGTGTGTGTGTAAATTTGTAGGGAAGGTTGCTCCCGTGTTTATATAGAAAAGTAATATATGCATAGGAAAGATTGATACCCATTTAAATATATGTTGTGGACTGGAGATAAGGGAAATGATTATGGGAGTGGATGTTTAATCAATCATTCAGATGAAGAATATAATGGTTGATTAGAAAGCAGATAAGTCTTTGTAAATCTGTAAAGATTTAAAGAATTATATATTTTTAAAGTATGGACAGATGAAATTGTTGAATTGATTTTTTAAAAGCGGCCACCAAAAGTTATAATAATTATTGTTGGTTATTCTTTTTAGTTTCAACCAGAAAAAATTGTAATAAGTGAGGGTATGAGCTGGTATAAAAAGTTGACATCGCAAAAAGAAACCCAAATAACCTGATAAATACATTATGAATAAATTTTTTAATGTGTTTATCAGGTTATTTAGGTATTTGAATGCAAAAATCCACCAAGTTCAATCTTTAATGCGTTGACTAGGTGCCAACCATAACTCTCTCTTTGAATGTTCAGAAGTTGATCAATAACAAACATGTATGTATGTGTATGCATATATATATATATATATATATATATATATATATATATATATATATATATATATATATATATATATATATAGGGTTGGGTTCACGTGAGACCAGGCTGCTTTCGTGAGACCCGTGAGACCACATTTTTACACTTGAAACTTCACAGAAAAAACACTGTGAAAGTTTAAAAAAGTCGAACCTTCACAGCAAAAACACTGTGAAGGTTACCTTCACAACATTTTTCTGTGAAGTTTCAAGTGTAAAAAAGTGGTCTCACGGGTCTCACGAAAACAGGCTGGTCTCACATGATCCCAAGTCTATATATATATATATATGTACACAGTAGCAAATCCAAGATTTTTGTTTAGTAGACTCGTAAAATCGTCTGATGTGTTTTTAACCTAATTACAATGTTTTCGAGGGAATTTTAGAGTTTTTTGGTTGATTTCGAGAGATTTTTTAGTGTTTTTGTTGATTTCGAATAACTTTTTTGGTTTTTTGATTGATTTCAACAGATTTTTTTGGTTAGAGTAACGGTTTCGATTGGGTTTGGGGTCCCGTGGAAAAATGTAATGAGGGAAAGTGAAAGATAAATCATGTAAAACCTAAATTTTAACCTGTGAATTTTTGTTTTTGAGTTTTTGAATGAGGTCCCTTCCCCCATTCTTTTTATCATTGCATCCGCCCCTGTATGTAGGGATGGTTCCAATAAAATCCAAAATTGATTAGGAACACTGGAACATGTTTCTTATATCTGCGGTTCTAGACTGACGATTTAAGTGCACTCTAACACTGTGATCGTTACAAGTAATAGAATGGTACAGTACCTAGATCGTTTCCACATGAATTTGACTATTGAGAATCAGAGAGGTCAATGAACTTCTTGTGTAATTTTCGGTTGTGAGACAAAATCAAGTTTTTGTTGGTGAAAATGCTTAAAGGATGCAATAAAATTTTAATTAAAAGATAGCATGGGTGTAAGTTTTCCTTATGACAATTGTAGTAACGATATATTCAGAAACTTATGGAGTATCTATAAAAATTCCAATTTCTCAAACGTAAAGTTTTATAGATAATGCCGAATTAGCTAAGTGATTTAAAAATATCAAATTCCCTTAGTCTGAAGATTTATACTCGAATATCTTTGTCAAGTAAATCTCGACTAATATTAAAACTTTAACTAAAAACATACAAAATCCTTCTCTCTACGTGATTATCAAAAACTTTTTCAAATTTTGTGCATCACTTAAGTCGTATTTCAAATCCGTCCATCTGAATCAAAGATCTAATATTAGCACTCCAAAATGATCGTTTATCCGCGTTGAGTTAAAGTCTCGACTTAAATGACCAAACTTAAGAATTAGTAATATCGGCAACACCCAAGTGTTGCCTATTAAATTGATTTTTTTTCCAATGTGTTTATTAATTGAGTTAGGCAATTATATTACATATTTGGCCATCAATAATCACAATCCTTTATTTAATTTGGTGGTTGGTCAGGATTCCTATTCACCTTTTCATAAACTGTATGCCTTCTCGTTTGATCCTATCCTTATTGTACTAATTGAAGTAAATACATATTTTTATCAACCGAAACATTTTTTCACTAGTTTGTAAATAAAACGTAAATGGCCCCAAACATAAATATCTATATTATTTATTTTATCCATGAACAAGAACAGTGTAACACCCCAAGATCACATTTGCATATAAACATATATTTTCATATATCAAGAAGTATAATTTACACATGCGGTCCCAAACTCTCCACAAAAGCTATATTACAAAATAGCTAATAATTTTTTCCACAAAATCTTTATACAACACATGAATACATAACAAGTATTCAGATACAAAAGAAGAACATGCTAGCCCAATAACCCATGCAAACATATTATAACACTTCATAATTTTTCCTTTCCTTGTCTTTTGTTTGTGCCTGACCTGTAATGCATATTTTTGAAACGCAAAATGAGAGTTAGACCTTGAGATCTATTGAGAAATCCCTTTGATGTAACTACCGGATGAATAATCACCAAATCACATTTTTGAACTCATATTTGTAATAATAATAAATAAATATCATTTTAATATAACAAGTCTCATTTATTGCATTCAAATACCCAAATAACCTGATAAACACATTATGGATAAAATTTATCACATCATATAAAATGTATACAAATTCCCCGTATCACATGGATGAGACAAACACTTGTCCTCACAACACACGAGTGTGAGAATATAAACTCATTGCATCATACTGTGCGATAAACCCAAGTTGTCGCATTATATGGATGCGATAAAATTAACTTGTCACATCATAAGGATGCAACAAAACTCTCTCCTCGTATCACAAGGATGTGATAACCACACTTCATCGCATCACACAGATGCGACAATCCCAAGTTATCGCATCATAAGAATACGATAATTATGAACACTTGATTAAAAACCCAGATTTTTATAACTCGATGATTATACGTCACTCTTATCCTGGTATACACCTCTCCTTGATATGTTACTCTTATCCCAATATACACATCTTCTTGATATACAACCTTTATAATCCAAAATACATATTGCCTTGATATGCGACCCTTATTTCCACACATGATGTATACTTAAATAAATAAAAGAAAAGAAAAAGTGAAGGTGGAAATCTCCAAATTTAGAAAAATCTCTTAAAACTCTATATTTAAGAGAGAAAAATAATATTTAGTTCTTTCATAGTAATTATAGACATTGAAATTAAATATTTAATAGAGAAAAACTAATATTTTTATTAAATGTATTAAATACTTAAATAATATAACTAATATTGAAATCATTAAATAAAATAGTTTTACGGGTTGGATGCAATTTTCTCTAGACATTTAGACTTTTGATATTCAATTTTAGAAAAATTATAAAAATACCTGTTTGAGACGCTATTAACCTTAAACAACAACATTATTATTGATTTAGTTTCTCTTAATATAATAATGTTTTTATTAATCATGAACGAATAAAACAATATAAAATGAAGTTGACAATATAAACGATGGATATTAAGGCTATGTTTAGCAAACTAGCTAATAAGCTAGTTGTTAGCTTATATGTTAGCTGGTAGCTGAGAACTTGTCCAACAATTATGTTAAAATAGAGAAAAGTGAGATTTCAACAACTTTTTTGCTCAAACAGTTGTGCAAATTTAGAACTATATATTTATTCTTTCTCACCAATAAGAGACATTGAAATTAAGTGTTTAGTAAAGAGAAATAATATTTTATTAAATATATTGAATATTTTAATAATATATTTAATGATAAAATTGCTAAAATAGAGTGGTTGTTAAAGTTGAACATGATTTTTTTAGAGAATTTAACTTTTGATACTCTATTTTGGAAAAATTTGTAACGTAGTTATTGGAGATGCTCTGATAAACTAGCTGATGAACAGATCACAATTATCTGCAAAACGAACACTTATAGCATGATTATAGGATCTATATAAAGGTTATGAAGTAGGAATCTCACCAAATTCACGAGCCTGTAACAAAATGACGCTCCAAGTAATTAGCTGTTGAACTTGAAGACGACATATCCAACAATACATCGTTGTCAATTTGTTTTGATCCGTCATATATTAGTTTATGTTTACTCAGTTTTCAGACCTATATTTTTTTCCACATCTAATAAGTAGGGTTGTAAACAAACTAATCGTTTGTAAAACATTTGACGCAAAGTTCATTTATATTCGTCTTCTTAATAGATAAACGAACATGGACACTTTCTTTTGCTCATTTAAATATATAAACAAACATGAACAATGGTCTCATTTGTTCATTTACATTCAATCTTTTATATTGGTGGCCATATCCTCAAGCACCAAAAACTGCAAGTATGTCCTCAGTTTGAGACTCCTCAGGAGGCATAGGATTAATGAAGATACACACAGGCTGACATAAACATCCACAGTTACCAAAAGAAAAGTATGCATCATGCATGCAAACGATAAGCCAATGCTTGCCATCCCACCACTCGTTATGCTCTTTCTAATATCGTTTCCCTCTCTGAGTCCGAACAACGAACGTAAAACCACTTCCACAGTAGACTTTTGACGTCATATGTTTGTGTGCAATATTTTCGCCCAATCTTACGACCTGAGGACTAGTGTGGTCAGATGTGCATCCTAAACCAAGCTGACCATGTTCACCCCATCCCCACGTCATTACCACTCCATTTTCTGCAGAAAAATTGTGTACACCAAGTAAATAACCTGCAAATTAGTTGCATTGATGCTCGCTAGTTCTATATATAGATAACGGTCCCTATATGATGTTTTGAGATTTGACACCTAATACAACTTCTAACTTCCGAGTGTCATGCATTGTTTTATGGATGATCAAGATGTGAAAGATAAGATCAATATATATGAACAAGAATCTCCTGTCCCAAAATCCCATGCCCCCTTGACCTCCATGTCCACCAATCATGCCTCATCAAAGAGAGAGAGAGAATGAACACATAAAATAAATAAATTTATATTAAATGAAGTAATTATGTGTCTCTAGGTGATTGGTGGGAAAGAGAAGAGACGAAGGATTTGGGATTGGAGATCTTTATTCAATATATACACCAGAATGCTTGCCTGTGGTAAGGACGGAGTGTTCTGCCCCTGATGCAATTCCTGCAACTTTTATCCCGTTGAGACCATGAATTTTCTGTAAATGGACATCGTTTGAATCCTCTGCAAATCAAACACGCACAATAATAAACGCCAGGAAACAGGGAAAAGAAATTGAACACGGTATCTAAGTATCCCAAATATTTGCCTACATTAACAAGGGGTTATTAGGATTTTACTATATTTCGTGAATCTTGTAGATTGTAGCATATCATTGATGAAGAATGTCTCTTCTATAAGAAGAAAACAAGATATCAAAAGTATTAGACAAGAAAACTATTATCCTTATTGCCCAACTGTCATGACCCAAAGACTGGTTCATGCTCCAAACTAGGCTCCATATCCAACAAACACAACCACTCAAGTGTTGTGATAGTTTTATCTCCCTAGGTGCCATGAAAAATGCAACAATTTCCGTTTTTGGGATATGCCTTGATGATTAAAACATTTCCATTTGGGAAGGTTCAAAGTTGAAGTCACATTCTTACTCATTATTGTCATCACAGATAAATTAATGGCATTGATTAAGATCCACAAGATTCTTTTACAAGTGTTCTCATTAGAAGATATATATATATATATATATATATACACATACATATATATGTATATATAAATTCCCTAAAACTAGTTGTAGGGGTTGCATTTTGTTATTGATGGAGGGAGTAAATTAATGCATATAACATGATGGAAGCTTATTATGTGTTAAAAGGTAAAATTTACTTGAGGAAGCCTTGAAACAACCATTTGTATCAGCAAAATATGAAGAAATTGTATGATGGAATTCTTTATTCAGAAGTAATTTCATTCATTCAAGACCTCAAAGATAATCAACTTGAGTCATAATGATACATACGATTCGCCAAATTTTCCTTTTGAGGGTTGTTATGAACCCCGTGATGGCTGCCACCAAGCATAAGAACTTCCCCTTCATCTGTGGACAAAACCGAATAATTTCAATTTATGGTTGAATCATCATGCAACAACTGGCATTCGTAAGACTCGAGTTCCTGGAAGAACTGTAAACATACCCTTTCTTTTGACTTTAGATGTCTAATAACACTTCATAATTGATATTTAAAGAGAAATTAATAATTACATCAAGTATTATAATACAAAAAGAATCAACATTAAAACTATAGAAGAACAAATAATAACTACGATTTTGTTAAATATAGATTTGATATTCAAAGTTAAATGAGACAACTATTAGCAAATGAAGGGAGTAGACCGCACTTCACATTGTACCTGTTAGTACCAAGGCATGATTCCACCCAAGGGTAGCCTGCGTAAATGAGAATGGTGAAATCACTCGATTGGGACAAGAAACATCTGGAGTACCACCGAACCCTCTTCCCCAAGTGTACAAATGCCCATCAGCTATTGAAAAAACAAGATAAGAACATTACACTTGGAAAAAATGATCGGATTTAAACTTCTATAAACTGAGATTTGATCATAGCTTATTGCTATTCACTCACCAGATAATGCTGCACTATGATCTCCATTTGCACTGATACTACTAACGTTGACCTCCTCCAATCCAGAAACACTCTGTGGAAGACTTATAGATTTGATTTTCTCGTTAGATGTTCCTAATTGACCACGCTTCCCGGATCCAAAACCATATACTTGGTCTCCATGTTCACCTGAACCAAATTGGCCTCAATATTTCGAATCCCATATTCTAAATTCAATTACCAACAACATAAGCAAATAAACGACATGAATTATCTTGTTTTGGCAAATAAACGAAGACCTTCAGTAACATCATATTGACAACTATTAAAGATTCAATGTGAGTTCACCTTTCAACAAAGCTAGTGAATGGCGCATCCCGCATGCAATTTGCTCAACATGCCTAAATGCAAAGCATGAGACTTTTATCGGACAATTCTGTGACCTGTAATCACCCAGCCCAAGCTGACCAAATGAGCCGTCACCACAAGTATATAGGTGTCCAGATTCTAAAGCAAAGAAAGAAAATCAGATTAAATCAAGTTATGCAAATGGACCGCTACACTCCCAAAAAATGAGTACAAACCTGAAACAAAACCCGAGTGGTTCCAACCAGCTGAGACATGGGTTATATTGTAGTTATTTAAAAGATCTACAGGTTTTGGTTCTAAGCTATTGACCAGATTCCCATGGCCAAGTTGACCAGATGTGCCCCTTCCCCAAGTCAACACCAGTTTACCTGCAAATGAAGAGATCACTCATATAAACACAGAAACATACGCATGCATATAAATGGAGAGAATGATAGTACATGATACCAGGAGTGAGAGCAATGACATGAGCCCCGCCACAAGACAAGAGAGATAAAGAAGAGAGAATAGGGAGGAGTTGAGGAATGTGCTCGTCTTGAAGTTTGCCAGTTCCTAGTTGTCCCTCTGTACCTGCTCCCCAACTCCATACTTCTTTTTCTTCTGTATCATCGACTCTTTCTTTTGCTTCCATTTCGCTTTTCTAGTTGCTTATGATCAAGTGCTAGATTAAACTCCAAATTGGTCAGATTACCAAAAAAAATATGTTTGTTGCAAATGAAGCTTGTCAGACAATCAGATTATCTCGAAAGTGAAGTATACTTCTGCTTCTCCAGTATCAATTGTAGCAGATTTCTGAAAAAAGTTTAAGCTGCATTAATGCGTTAACCAAACAAGTTTTTTTTTCTTTGGGTGCTAAAATTGGTGAAGAGAAAAAGCTAAAGGGCAGTACAAGGTGTGGGCTATATGAACAAGCATGTTACTTTTAATACACAAAATATTCTTTGTTTCATTCTTAAATAAGTTCTGATGACAAACAAAAACACAAAGACACACTAGACTAGAGGCATCTATGTGCTATATGCCTGCTACAGCAAAAGAAGATTGTATAATTGGCTGAATATTTATCCCTACTTGGCTGAATATGTGAAAAGCTTTTCTGAAAATTGTGCAAGATTGTCCTAGAGTATTAATGGTAGAACCGTAGAACCCCATTAGATTACTACAAAAAGATCCCTTAAAGAGAATGGAGGTTTTATCATATATGAAGGAGAAAATACGTGGAACCCATTAGATAACACCAAAAGAGCCCTCCAAAAGAGAATGGAGGTTTTTTAGGCAACCGTGGGTTTCCAAGCTAGCTTACGCTCACCCACTAATCCTCCAGGTGGCACAAATGCCCTAGAGTCATCGCAGGTGATCGTCGATGGTCACAAGGGCTTTGGCAGGATTAGAACCCAGGAAAGATTAGATTTCCACTACATCCCTTGATCCTTAACCTGTGCGCCACAACCCAAATGGTTTGGAGGTTTCAACATATATATGGAGGAGAAATGGGACAAGTATAGCCAATATAGAACTACAACACATGAAACGAATTTCACGAGTCAAAGATGGAGAAGCGAACTTGATTATTATCGACATTGCTAGTGTGAGATGCCTAAAAATACGTTAGTCAGGTGAATGCGGTCCAGATAAAGAAACCAAAACAACAAATAACACAAGTAAGCCATCTTACATGAAGATACCTTGGTTACTGAAGGATCAATAAATCAACGCGATTTGTGTTTCAGGTTCTCGAACAAAAAGTATATTTTATGCAGAAGCAGAAAGTATCCTCCAAATTTAGGTACGTTCACTTCCAATTTGGTTGGATGATTAGTTCCCACAACAAACGATCAATAAAAACAATACTGAACCTTGATACAAGTACCAAATCAATCCAGCAATATGTAAACATACCAATCTCGCCCATAAAATTGCAATACATGTTTACATAGAATTAAACCCTAGAAACTGCCAATGAAGAGGAAAGAGAGTAGGAGATTATCAGAAGATGATACCTTTCAGAATCAGAATATTTAGATAATTGCAAGTGTTTTGTTGATGCGAGTATAACAGGGCACACGAACACTCGTCTTAATTTTGACCTTTCTAGTCGCCCTTTGGATCACTATTTGAGTTCCAAAAAAGGTCTACTTCCTAAAATACGTAGATATGTTGGATTTGGTATTGATTTGTAGGATTTTATATTATTTTTAAATAATTTATAAAAATAAATTATAAATAATTAAATTATCTTTTTATTGATTGATTATTACAAAATAAATGTTTTTAACATATTATAAAACATTATTACATACAAATCTTATGAAATTTCTAGAAATACCGACTATCTCGTGGGATTTCAAAGCCATGTGTTTGTGAAATTTCAATGAAATCATGCGATTTTAAATTCAAAAAATCTTTTAAATCAAACGTTGAATTGGAATGTGATTTAATTTCAAATCTCTTTAAATCCAATCCATTCCATTAAACCATGCAAGAGACTTAAAAAAATATATTATTACAAAAACTAATAGTAGTAGATTTTTATAGAAATTCTTTTTTAAGGAGTCTCCATTTTCCATAAATCATATTAATTGGTTTTTTTTCTTTCGTTCGAATTTGAAGACACAACATAAGTGTCATGTAGGGGTGCTTATAGGTTGGGTTGATCGGGTTGAGGACATTTGAACAACCCAACCCAATGCTCGCGGTTTTGAGAAATCTTAACCCCAACCCAAACCAAAGTGCAACCCAACCTAACCCGTACGGGTTGGTCGGGTTAGTCGGGTTGATATTTTGGTATATCAAAATATTCTTTTAACCTTGAATATATTATTTCTCTACTCATAATTTCTTTTTCATCATCAACCATTTGATACAATTTATTCATATTTCTTACGTATATCACATTCAGTTAATTTTCTCAATTTCCATATATATGTTCACAGTTACTGAATGAGTTATATAGAGATATGAATAGATTGAAAATATGTATATATGAAAAACATACATGATAGTGTAATTGTCTAATGTATATATTAATAGAAATTCAACAATCATATTAAATTCAAGAAATAAAAGGATATCGGGTTCATCGGGTTGGGTTGAGTTTAAATAATAGTAACTCAATATCAACCCAATACCTACGGTTTGACAATTTTACAACTCAATTAGACATCGGGTTGCTTCGGGTTGAGTTATTTCACGTTGAATTGGGTTGGGTTATTTCGCGTTGGGTTGATCGGGTTGGTCGGGTTTTTGAACATCCCTTAGTCATGCTTCGAACCATAAGGTATAATACTAATTTTAATAGCATATACATCAAAGTTCTAGGCATCAATCAAAACTATTTTTACCAATGATCCAAATTATCACATGGGTTTGTTAAATCAAACAATAACCATCCAAGGTTATGAGATCACCCTATTTCCCACATCACATGTAAGAAGGAACACTTCAGTAACCAACGAAACACACCAGATTTCATATGCCTTGTATTCATTACTAAGCAAAATGCAATACTCCATGATCAACTAACCAGTCTAACCTTACATCATTTTGTCCTCATGATCATAGGCGAAACCTACAGTCAAGACTTGACACGGAATTAGCCCGGGCGAAGACTAGAATCACCCATTTCCGAGAAAAAAAACATCATCATCATTATAAACCTTTCTCATCTTAATATGAGAGATAACAATACCAAGAAAAAGAAGTACCAAGATATGGCCATCCCCCAATCCAACTAATTATTGCAACATAATACAACTACAATCGTCAATAAAAACAGTCAAGAAGACTCAAAAATCAAAACCCCACAAGTACCATTACAAATTACTATCAAATTATCAATGATGTTACAGTTGGAGACAATCCACAAGAAACCCCTATTGTTTCTTCTTGTATTACCCTAAAACCAATAATCTTCAAATCAAGAGCAATATACAAGTTTACCACTTGATGTACAAATCATCTTAGCAGCAAATCATTATGCTTTCAATTGGAAATTTGGAACTTGAACTTGAACTCTTCTAAGTCACAAAATATCATCATAAGCGATAATTTCCCGACCTCTGGATGGCACATTCAAACCTTTTCTTCCACCATTCTTCTCATTGTTGATGGTTGTGTTACCATCATTCTTTTCATCTCTGTAGTTTACAATTGCTGATCCGAGCTTGTTCCCTCTTCCATGTCTGCTAAGAGGCAACTCTGGTTTCAATAGCTTCGATGATGAAGAAGCTTCCTTCTTCTTAACCCCTTCCCTCCATTGTGGCACTGGATCATTTGCCCACGTCACTTGTACCTGCACCATTATATAATCACACATTTAGTCCCACCCAATAATCAAATTACGGAATACGTAATAGTTGGTTAATGGAACATTCATTTATAGAACAAATGAGAGGTAGGTCAACAGTATCGAACGGCACTAGCAGCTATTCCTTCTGTTCTAAGTAAAAAAGTGCACTTTCAACGATAGACATTCAAACCCTAGTAGTTTTGGATTCAAATTGACATCGATTTGCTTTGGTTTTCCATCTCCAAACCCTTTCTATGTTACTACTTCTTATATAGTTACATGTAGTTATAGAATTTGCTAAAAAAGAAGAATTCTTGTAAATTTGGAAGTTAACAAGTATGACTAAAATAAGCCAAAAATGTGAACTTTGGAGTGATTTTCACCCCTTCACCGTTGACCTGGGATAATAGATCAAGAAATTGATTTGATATACCTTGATGGTGTGAAATCATATACCTAATCGATGAAAATATTGTTTTTACATGCTCAAGTACATAATTTTCATCGTAAGCAAGGTAATTATATGAAATGTTGATTAATTGAGAGAGATCGAGAGTTACTCTAGTAGAATTGAGGGTGATGCCGAATGACGGATCAAGTGACGCGGCGATGGCAGACTCAGCAGAGTCCCTAGAACGGAAGGTGATGTAGGCGAAACCACCGGAATCCATGCGTGTACGAGAAATCGATCCGTAGATTTCGAATCTGGACTTGACATCCAGGACGGAGCAGTCAGAGGAAAGGCCAGCGACGATAACTACGGTGTTGGTGTCACCGGAGGATGTTGGTTGGTCGGGAAAGTAGTCATCGTCAATTGCCGGATCGGAAGGGAGAGGGCGGCGGCGTTTAGGAAAGTTGTACGGCGTGTGGCGGGAGAAATAGGGTTTTTCCCTCTTCCGACTCATGCTGTGTGTTGTTGAGGAAGGGGATATTCGGGGGTTAAGTCGAAGCTATTACGTCAACCTAACCACTAAGAAAATAAAATATTAAATATGATGGTAGGCTTTTATAGCTGTTGGATATCCAACTTTAATACTTGTACTTATCGAATTTGGTTTTCTGTGCATGCTTATATCATTTAGAGTTGTTCCACAATGAATTAATGGGTTATTAAGCCTGAATGGCTTATTCAGTCAGCCATATATTGTTGTTCGCTTCTGGCTTATTCGGTTAGCCGATAGTTTAACCGGTCAGCCAGAAAAGTGGAGTTCTATGGACTCAGCCACTTATTCAACCATTGATTCCAAAGCTACCCTTTCCCTCCTTTCCTCCAAAATTGAACCCTTCATCGTCAACCTCTCCTTATTCAACCCTTCATCGTCAACCTCGCCTTCTTCATCTTCATCTTCAACCTCGCCTTCTGGATTGACCCATTCCCTGTAACGAGTCCCAACTCCCTCCGCCTTTGACCACCACCGCCACAACCACCCGTACATCACTCTCTCTATTATAAATATGAAAGAAGCAGGAATTTTGTTGAATAGTTGTTTTCCTTCATGATCGAGATTTGAGGAAAACCTAAATCGCCAGTTGAAGAATATTTTCATCGATTTTCCAACATGTCAAATATTCACTCTTTGATTCACATGTATTTAGAGTTTCACTGATTTTAGTTCTTTTGAAATGGGGTTTTCATTTGATTCAGCATTTTGGTTTCATTTGATCTATTTGTTGTTCTTGTTATGGATACCTAATGTAATAAAATTGATCCACAAAAACAAAGATTGGGGTAAAATAAAGACTAAGGGTAAAATGGTAATTTTTGACATTCAGACTGTTTATTCAGCATAACAACCGAACAACAACTTATCTGTTAATATACAGACAACTATATCAATACAGACATCTATATCCATACAGGTCTTAACAGAAAACGAACCGAACAGCCCCTCAGTTTATCTTTTTAATATTGATGTAGACGTTTGTTAATATAACTCATTCTTCTGGTTGAATTTGCAAGAAAAAAAACGGTAAATAAAGTATGGTACTAATAAAATAGTACATTTGAACTTGTTTGCACTAAAAAATCGGCTCACCAAAAATAGTATTTGTCAGATTGTTTTTGACTTTATCTTATATTGGTATTCAATTGGCTAAACGATAATCTTATCCGCTTTGGTGACTATCTTGACTTCACTTCCACTAGTCTTCGTTTTTGTTGAATGCATTTTGCATTTGGATTAATACAGATAATAATAATACTTTTACAAACATAATCATATTCTATTTTTTTTTCCAAAATATAAGCTATAACTTCGGATTTCAAAATAAGTAAAGATGCATCCACATAAATAATAATAAAAAAGAGTCATAAGGTTTCCTAATCTCACTCAAAAGTAAGTTAAAAAAAATCTAGAATTTGTTCCACATATTAATGGCCTAACTTAAGTGGCTACCAAGCAAATAAAGAAAAATCTAAAATTCAGATGATATGTATGGAATTATCATATATTGAAAAAGAAGAAAACAGTACCCAATGATCATAATTAGCTAACAGTTGTGTTTATTAATTGCTCGTACAATTTCTAAAGCATATAAAAACAAAATGCGTGAATTAGGAATGCATAAGATTGGCAAAGGCAGTAAAAGATTTATTCTAAAGCATAATAAGGTGATTTTTTAAAGCTTAAAACATATACAAGTCACCTTAAATGTCGAATTTTAGCTTGATTTCTCGATCGAATTTGTTCTACGAAGCATACGTGCTGATAATATGTTGTAGAATAATTGACAGAAAACAACAATAGAATGGAGATAATGAATATGTAATTCTCATTAATCAAAAGTCCTTTAAATAGAGATATGATACAAGTAGATAGCTATGATAGATATTAGTTATAATCTATCTTTAATACGTTTATCTCTATCTAGATCGTCATATCTTTTAGACGATAACACCTGCAGCACCTTCAATATTTTAGATCCACATTTCTTGGGATATCAAAGCAAATTTGAAAGTATAAATATATCAATCATCAATCAATCAATATCTTCATCTTTATATATATATATATATATAAACAACAACCTAATATTTGAGCTGATATTATGAGAATTGAGTATTTTTAAATAGTGGATTATGGTTGAGTTTATGTTATCCCACATCGGTGAGAAGTCGAAAGATTGAAATAAAGAAGTGTGTATGAGGGTGAAATGACTTTGTGTCAACTAATGATGTTTGACCCATGAGGTTGTCTTATTTTGGGATGACTCTCTTTTTGCAAAAAGAATCTTATTATATGAAAATCAAGTGGAAAAATAATTCATCAAAAATCAGTAACTGATTTATATCGAAATCTCTCCATATATATTAAATGAACAATAATAAGTATAGGGTGAGATTTTAGAAGATGATAAAATTAAAGGAGGTTGGTATAAGAATGAATAAATATATATAAAAAAAAAAAGATAGAATATTTTCATGAAGATTTTTTTACTTCACAAATATGCTTCATGCTATATATGGGTTCATCTTATTTATGGGTTTTGTTTGTTTCTTCTTGTTTTTATTTTCTTTATAGCTTTTCTTTATGGTTTCTGGGTTTTATCTTCTTTTACGGTTCCATCTTCTTAATGGATTTCATTTGATCAAGATTTAAGTGAAAAGATATTGTTACACAATTTTTAGGATGCTTGATTTTACCTGCTTCATAGCACAAATTTTTAAATAAAATTCTATAAATTCGTTGTTCATTTCTTGATGTATTTGAGATACTGTATTTGTATTCATATTTTATTTTGGATTTTGGTATATTCTTGAGTTTGATTAGTGGTTTTTTTGCATGGTGGTAGATTGATTTATTAGCTGGAATCTCGATTGATTTGTAAACTTAAATTAGGGGTGCTGAAGTGGGGGAGGAGGATGGTGAGGGGTGCCAAATGGGGAGTGATGAGGGGTACTCGCCGGAGAAGATAACCAGACCGGAGCAAGGACATGATTTGTAGCAAAAATGAAACTTTGAGGACTGTAGTAATAAATTTTAGGATTTAGCCACCTTTTTCATAACCATTATGAAACTACAAGGAGGAAATTTGAAATTTTGACATTTGGTTCGATATTAAAAATCGAACCAATTTGATGTGGTTTGATGGTTAAATGCATTAAAATTAGCTTTTCTAATTGCTAATTTAGGTCGACATTTATGTGATTTGAGTAGCCGCCTTTGGTTGACATCTATTTAATGACATACCCTTTGGTTTAGCCTATAAATACCATAACAACATACTTTGCATTTCATTACCATAAAACCATCCATTATTCATCATACATCATGGCAGTTGTTACAAGTGAGTTAGAGATTCCTTCTTCAGTTTCTGCTTCCAAACTTTTCAAGGCATTCCTTGATTTTCGCAACCTTGCACCAAAGGTTGAGCCTGAATCTTTTAAGGCCATAGAGTTCATCAAAGGTGATGGAGGCATTGGAACAGTCCAACAAACTACTTTTGTTGACGGTAAGTAATTTCATTTTCATCAAGATGGTGCTTAATGAGTAGACAACTTCATACATATGTAACTTGTTCGATTCATTTTTTTAGTTATTTATGTGGGTGTATAAACCTTCTGTAAAATATATTTTTATCATATTAACATTTGATTGGTGTAGGCTCAAAATCAAAGCTCACAATTGATGCTATTGACCACAACAATTTCTCTCTTGGTACAACAATTTTCGAAGGTGGTGAATGGATGGACAATCTAGAGTCTGCTACTTATCACGCAAAATTTGTACCTTCTGCAGCTAACGACGGTTCAACATATAAGGTCTCATCTGTGTATAAGTGCAAAGATCCTGCCAAATTTACAGAAGAAAATGCTAAGTTTGCTGACGAATATACCAAAAAGACTTTCAAGGCTATCGAGGCATACATCATTGCAAATCCAAATGCATATTGATGTTGGACATTGTTTCAGTTGTCACTCTGTTTTCCTATATGTGGTACTGTGTTTCTTTTATAAATAAGGTGATCAATAATAAAATATAAGTTTGTTTGTTAATGTTTAGTTTTTATTGATATAATTTCGGAAATCATATATTCATGGATTTTTTCCTTGTTTTCCACTCTCAACGGAAAAAGAACTCCTTTAATTTCAATTTACGATATAACATCCTTTGACAATTGCATTTGCATGATTCTTGTCCACAATCTCTTCTATGTAAGCAATACTTCCATAGCCTAATCAAATTTTTTTTAGCATGGTATCATTTGAAATGTTGGAAAAGCAAATATAAAATCTTGTTGGGAAATATTATATATCATAACCGTAAAATAAAATCAGAATCCGTAATCAAAATGAAATTACCGACAGTGAAATCAGGAGTTGTGATAGTGGCCAAATCATGATTCTAACTAACTTGTTATGACTTCGTTATGGCGTGGAGACTAGATATTGTTGTCATGTTAACCTCTGTGACTCCACTCAAAGACGTGGCTTGCATTGTAATGCTTTATGATGTGATACAATGAGTTATTTTGTAAATTGTTGGGTTTTTTTTACTTTTTCTGAATAAATGATATATATATATATATATATGTACGAAACCGAAACTTAAATAAACATAAAAATGAAAACCCCAAATAGGTAAATCCTTATTCTCATTCACATGCATGGAGAGTCGACACAAATTCCTTGAATGTTAGAAAAAAGTATCAGTGTACGATATATATATATATATATATATATATATATATATTATATGGGGAGCGTTCAAATAAAAACCACCTAATTTGTACAAACCTTACAAACTTCATTCAACTAATCATAATTTTTCATTTTGTTCATTTTTTTGTAATTATGAGAGGTTGATTAATCATTTTTATTGTGGATGATGTTAATCATGGATATTATCATCTTCATTATTTTAATTTTAGATAAATACATGAATCAGTTTCATTAATTTTAGAGAAATACATGAAACAGTTTCATTAAGTAGTATATGAAACAATTTCATAACCATATATGAAACAATTTCATAACCATATATGAAACAACTTTATCAAAAAAAGTATTATATGAAACAATTTCACAAGATTAAACAATTTCATGAAAAAATTTCATAAGATTAAACAATGAAATC